GTTTAGGGTTCAGGGTCTGGTTTAGGCTTTGGGGTTTAGGGCTTAGGTTTAGGGTCCCGTCTGGGACAACCACAAAGATGACGTGTCAGCTCCGCATGGTTTGGGCCCCTTGGAGGTCACTGCAGTCAGGATCGTGGCATCAAAGGCTTTTTTATACGAGCCTATCACATGTCACGCTCAACGTCATGGCCCACAAAACGGTTATCCCTGTGAGGAACCTTACAAAGCTCCTAAACAAGTTCCAGGACACTAGTCCCTATAAGCGACTACATTAAGCCCAGATTCCATTTCATGCTCCATTGTCTGTACCATTTGGTTCCCCATTATTGAGGTTAGTCTAGCCCCCGTAAAGGGACCTAGGGTTTCCGTGTCATTTTCCATGTTCTTCTTTTGATTCTCCATTGTTGGGGCCCTAAGCTCTAAACCCCAAACCCTAACCCCTAAACCTTAAACCCTAAACCCTAATGGATGTCCAGGTGCCATCATCTTGCAGTTCACGCGTGCAATGGCGCGAGACCTCGGACGTGCCTACATTCACTTACTGGGGGTCAGGGGGCTCGTAGGGAATAAGGGAATGAATATATATATATATGGGGGTTAGGGTTTAGAGTTTGGGTTTAGGGTTCAGGGTAAGTAGGGAATACCGGAATACATAACATAGGGATTAAATAAGGATTACATTACTCAATGCCGTACTAACTACCAATAAGTGCAAGGGTCTTAAGACTGGTACATTTCAGCCTGTTTTGCACTACAGGAACGGCTTACATTTTGTAGGTTTTGGGCATTTCTACTACGAAGCCAAAAGCTATGAAGCCCTACGTCACGCCCTGTACTCCCTTACACCCGACATAAACTTCAAATTACCCCGATCAGGGCACATTCAAGCAATGATTCGGGGGAATATAAGGGTGTGGCGTGGGGCTTGCTAATTACGTGATGCGAGCATCTACTAAGGGTACCATTATAAATGGAAGCCGGTCTTTTGAATTTTGGGGATTATCTCTCCTACGTTACCAAAACGCATGGCAGAAGGGCTCCTGCTTGAAGAGTCGCGGCCCTTTTGGAGAGAAAAGCGCTGAAACTGCGCGGGATGCATCCTAACAAAGCTGCCTATCCCTGCGAATGCCCGGACGCATATCATGTGTAACTGCCGCACATTGGCCAAAAAGTTCAAACTCCTAGTGGCAAACCCGACTTTGTTGAAGGTCGACCGTCTGGACAACCGGGAAAAGCAGAAACCACAGTCCACAAATACCAACGTCTCCTCCGTGTGTAGCATGCAGGACTTTGCTGCAGATAAACGTCAAAGAACCCCTCCCAACCCTCCGAAGCCCGCTGAAAATCCAATAGTCAAGAATTACCTTTCAACCTACTTCCATCAGGGCTCAGGGTGTAGGTGTTTCAGGGTTTAGGCTTTAAGGGCTTAGGTTTACAGTCCCCCTTAAATAGATGTTATAAACTACCCAAAGCCATGTTCTATCTACTTCAGGGGGACTATAACCCTGAACCCTAAACCCTAAACCCTAAACCCTAAACAGTAGTTTCCATTTTCTTTTCCATTATCCCAGTATAACCCCTACATANNTCTACTTAAGGGGGACTTTAGGGGTGTTTGGGGCTGTAAGGGCCCCGGAAAGCACATAGGCTGTCAAGCCGCAGCTTTCGACACCACTTTCTCCACCTTGGCTTTTTAGGGTTTAGGGTTTA